CCACAGAGGTCCAGTCCGAAAATTCACATTTAGTCAGAAAGTTACCATTTTCTTTATCTAAATTTATACTACTCAAGATTATTAGATCTGCAACAACTAGTAGTAGCAGATATAGTAGTCTTAAGTTTTAATAGTTTTTATAAAAAAAAAAAAAAACAGAAAAGATTAGAGGAAATAATAAGCATAGGACTGATTAATCTTTTCCCACAGCTGACCAAATCACATCATACACACAAAACATTTTACAAATGGTCACAATTATTATATAAGTAAAGGTAGATTTATATAGTGAAACATATTAGTCTTTTCCCATTAAAGAAATATCTTCACTCGACTTATTAATTTTCTATAATAAATTCATTAGTAAAGCTTATTAAAATAAACCCTGTATCACAAAGGTTATATATAATTTCAATAACCAGGTGGGCAATGACTGGCCACTACTTTAAGTTTCAATCTTCAGGTAGCACTTTTATACCAGAAGGCTAATTTTGGGCCAACTCTATTTAAAGCTGCTTATTCAAACCTACCTCTAGTAGGAATTTGGTTGTCTGGTCCTGTTGAGCACTTTTTTGAATTAATGCTTCAGCTCCTGTACCACAACACCAGTTTCTCTTGCTATTGAGCACTTTTTTGCTATACTGGTAACCCTTTCCAGGTTGAATTTTTTTTTTGCCATTTTAGATCTTGGCTTGATGATCTACCCTCCCCACTGTGCAAGTTTTGTTTGCTTGTCAAATTGTACTTCTCCAGTGGTATATAAGGTAATCATTTTGTTACTGGCTACCTGAAAATTGTGTGCAAACACATGAAACTTGTGGCTAGTCATTGCCTACCTGGTTTTTGAATTAATATTCAAATGCTCTGTCATTTTTATAGAGCACTTTTATGCCAGAAGGCTAATTTTGGGCAGACTATTTAGAGCTGCTTATTCAAACCTTGGAATTTATATATATATATATATAATTATATCCATAGAAACTAATATTATGAACGTATATGTTTATAAAACTCAGTAAATTTCAAAATAAGTTATTCCAAAATTTGCTTGAAAATGAAACAGAACTAAGGACTTTAATTCTATAATTGAATTTGAAGATTTAGCTTCTGTTTTTGAAACATGGTAATTCCTGTGTACCAATGGAACCATATTTTTAAATAGGTAAATTTATAATATTTATGCTCTGTAGATTTGCATTGAGCACTGTTTTGTAAAAATAAAAATATAAGAACACCGGGTTATATATCTTACTGTTCTTTCTCTTTATTATTATTATTATTATTATATTATATATATATATATATATATATATATATATATGTGGTGATAATTGTGACATATGCGGAAAATTGTGCCTATCTTTTGTCGGCTTCAAAAGCCATTTGCGTAAATGTGCAAAACCTAGTGTGCACCTGAATAATGTCACTGTAAACAAAACTGATCGGGTATGCTAATTCTGTGGCAAAATTTGTCGCAGTTTGGCTGTCCTGAAGAGTCACCTACGAATACATAGAATTTGAGGGGAGTGGGGGTGAGGACATGAAATAAAGGAGGTGGCCGCGCTCGAAACCGAGAGGACAGCCACGATATATATATATATATATATATATATATATATATATAATGTTAATTGTAAGATCAAACAGTATAAAATCAGAAACAAAATTACTTCCAACAAAAATTAAACTTGCCTTCCAAATGCATCAAAATAAGAATGCTTCATCTAAAGAGAAAAAAAAAACAAAAATATTTTAGAAGTAAAATTATATGACTGGTGTTTGATCTTTTGCGGAAGAGGTTCATGTTGAAACCTTTTCAGCATCTTCTTTACTCTAAAGATAGATTGATTAATATCTCTGTGACAAGAGTTAAATTTACTAAGTCCAGTTTGATCCCCAATGAGTATTGAACCTGTGTGGTGCAACCATTTGGCAGATTTGGATTAACATACTAAAAATCATCAAAATTATTATTTTGATAATTTAAAAAAAAAAATAATGTTTGGTAAGAACCTGACATTATAAACATTATTATTATTGAAGGAGACTTAAAAGTGGGACTTGACAAAAATATGAACCTAATTAGAAATTCAGCTTGAGTATGTCAGTTGTAACTAGTTAACATTTAAGATGTTGCACTAAATGACATTTTTTTTTCAAGTTTTAAGAGTTCATTGGGTGCATAATGCATTCCTTGTGACACAATCATTAATTGTAATTTTATTTTTCTCTTTATTGCTCTACCACCCATTATTTGTTGAGGTAATGCAGCCATGTTAAGAACAAATCCTTCTGGTATTAACAGTGAAAAAAGTAAAGAAAATTTAAAAAACAAAAACAAACAAAAAAGAAAACATCACACACACAAAAAAGAAATGTGACAAACACATATCACAACACACACCATATATATATATATATATATACATACACACACCCACAAAAAGAAACACTACACACAAATATATGTAGACAAAATAAGTAATTTATGGAAACAAGTGGCTCAGCAGGGATGATAGGAAATCTTGATGTTATTTGATTCTCGTCCGCTTTGTTTGCACTGGCATGCACATCTTGGTGGTTATGCTTTCGGCCATTATACCCTCTGGACTTCTTTTTTATATATATATATATATATATATATATATATATATATATATATATATATTTTTATTAAAGTTTTTATATTTTTTTTTTTTTTTTTTTATAGATACAAGTATTTAAATAAATTCTGTTTATAATAAACAGTATAAATAACATTTACCGGCCTGAATGTCCAAGAAATTTTCATAGAAAATATTTGTCCTTTGACATGAAAATTTCTCGGACATTCAGGCTGGTAAATGTTATTTAATACTGTTTATTATAAACAGAGCATTTACTTAAATACTTGTATCTATAAAAAAAAAGAACGTTAAACATAAAAATGTCTTTAATAAAATAAATTGTCGGACTTTGTCCATTTCTTAATATATATATATATATATATATATATATATATATATAGTCTGATCTCTAATCAGGTACCTGCGGAATCTGGCCCATATAAGACCACAGAAAAAGCAGGATGGCAGAAATAAGAGTTAAAAATCCCTATGTAAACAGCCTTACCAGTTCATTCTGCATATATATTGCCATGTTATTTAAAGCAGAACATAAAACAATCACTAATGCTTCCAAACAAGTTTTTTTTTTATTGTTTCATGCAATGCAAAAGCTAAAAAAAAAAAAAAAAAAAAAAAAATGCCAAAACCAAAAAATAATATTTACTATCCTGAATAAGTAAATATGCAGCTATATATATATATATATATATATATATATGACATGAGCAGGACCTTATCAACAAAATTCACTGCTGTTGTCAGAAAGTTTTAAACAAATTGTGGCACTGCCGTTGGAGTCGCTTAACAAACTAATGGAGACTGATTCAAAAAAATGTTAGATCATGAGAGTTGCTGGACCACAGAGTGCAGGATTAAACAGGTTAAACTGTATGTTGGAATTTTTGAGATGAGTTATTATATGCTTTGCTATTCAGACCAGCATTTACATATTGTTTGTTACACTTACAATGCTTTGGGGTCATTGTATCTTTCGGCCTTCTTTCATATCAAAACCGGTGGGTCATTTTCCAATTTCTTTTCTATGAGGAGTGGGATGCTATGATTGATTACTTATGAGATCATGATACACCAGAAACCACTTTTTCTCCCCCACCCTTCTCCCCCACAAAATTGAAATATCTTAAAATTTTTTTGGTCTTGTACTTCATTTTCCTTTTGGAATTTCTACTGTTGTTTTTTTGGAGGGTTTTTTTTTTTTTTTTTTTTACATACACAGTTATACCATGCATTTTTGTGGGTTGTGTGGGACTCTGGGTTGTAAAATTGACTTGGGTACTGAATGACATGCCGGTGGTTCATGGGTAATAAATACTACCTATGATATCCTTGCCTCATATATGAAACAATATTAAAACAAAGTCTCTTGTACCAAAATTAATTAAGATATAGAGTCGGGACCCTTAGGCAAGAAGGGAAATGAAGCTGGGGAGCCAATGTATAGATAAATAAGGCGTCTATTTTCAAAATCATTATATCCATTAAGATAATGTTTGAAGTAATAAAAAAATGGGGGATTAAAAATAAATCCATTAATTCGTTAGGAATTGCTTTGTTTACATTTCAGATATGAAACTGAACAGATATGGGCACCTGAGTAAAATAATCTGAGTGAAGGGGATGTGCTTTTCTTAAAAAGGGCAAAAAGGTTTCCTTACTGTGAATTCCTACATGGCTGAGTCGTAAAGCAAGCTGGACCAAGTGGTAGTTTCCCCTATAAAGAGGGATGCAGGTTTTTTCTTTATTTAGATTTCTCGAATGCACAGCTTGACAGACATAATACAGTGCTTAATAAATAAATAAAAAATGGGACATCTATTTCAAATAACATATGAAGTAGTAAAAATGTCAGCTTAAAAATAAAACCATTAATTCTTTATAGTTAAGGCATAGTGTTGTTAAGTTAAATAACTTCTTTATTAATCTCACACACACACACACACATATTATATATATATATATATATATATATATATATATATATCCAGGATCAGAAGTTTGCAAGTCTGCATGAAACTGAGCCATGTTTTCGATGTTGGATATTATGTGTATTCACTAATAAATACTTAAAAGCTCTTGTAGATAACATTGTGCACTCTATTTATAACACCTGAGAAAAAAATATATATGTATGTGGTACAAGTATATGTATATTTTTTTATATATATATATATATATATATATATATATATATATATATATATATATATTTTTTTTGAAATGTGGAATTATTATATGCTTTGCAATTTGGGTTAGCATGGTCATCCTGACAATGTTTCTGCTATTGATTCCTTGTATGATAATCCATTCAATAATGAAAATTATTTATCTCAAAGAATCTGATATGATACAGCAATGAGGTAGATGATAATATTGTCAAAATATTGTGAGTATAACTACCAAGAAGTCTAAATAACAGAGGAGGATGAAAAAGAGAAAAAAAACTATATGAAAGAATATTGCTCTCTCACTCACACAGAGAGAGAGAGAGAGAGAGAGAGAGAGAAAAAGAAAAACCCACAGAGTTAGGGAAGCAAAACTTCACCAATATTCACAAAATGTTATCCCTGAACCTAAACACTTACAAACCTAAAAGGCAAGGTGTGGAGGACCCCCAACCTCACTCTCCCCGGAAACAAAAATATAAATAAAAACTCATACCACCCCAAATTCTGAGGAGAATCAATCTTCCCACACCCTCATGCCAACAATCTAAAATTCCCTGCAACCTATCATTAACTAGAATCATGTGCCCAACTCTTCTCATTATCACCTTTATCAGGTTTTCCACTAGATTTCTCATCCTATCTCCTCACATTATATATATATATATATATATATATATATATTGTATATTGTGTGTGTGTGTGTGTGATTTCCTCAAGCATTGAAACAAACTTAATCACCTAATATTCTTCATGAGGTCAATTACCAAAAACCATAAGGTTATCAGGTGGAATTCCTTAACTGTCTTTTTAGTCTTCCTCATAACTGTACTTAGCAATTTTAGAAGTTATTTGGTCAATTGCTAAGATTATCAAAATGCACTTAATGTGTGTGTACGTGTGTGTGTCTCTCTCTCTCTCTATATATATATATATATATATATATATATATATAAAAGTAAAACTTTATAATGACAATATTTCATCTTATTGTATTAGAAAAGGTCAGAATAAAAGACAAAAATCAAAATCCACAAATGAGAATGGTTTTAAATAGCATCAAAAATGCACTTTGTCTCATTTCTCTACTTTTGTTTGGAGATATATATATATATATATATATAATACTTCAAAGAAATTAATGGATTTTATTTTAAATCCACTATTGCATCTCCAAATGTTCATTTAGTAGAATAAAAGACAAAAATTTGTGTTTTTTTTTTTTTTTTTTTAGTATTTTTATATTTAATTATTTAATTTTTTTTTTTCAGGAAATTTTCCACAAAATTTAGACATTGACTTCTTGTTCTCTTGTGATTTAATTTTAAATAATTTTTAATATATTGTCCGGACAAATTTAAACCATTTTCAAATTTCAGTCTGATGAGGCAGACATTAAAAACTTATCTTTCAAAATAAATTTATTACTGAATTCTTCAATGCTGTGTTAAGTTTTTTCCTTTGAGATATATATATACATATATATACATAATATAATTATATATACAAAAAAAATAATTAAAGTTAAACTTATTTAAACATTTATCAAAAATATCATTAACGAATGATTGTAGACCCTGGGTTTTAAATTTTAAATCCAATAAATCTATTTTTTTTCTCCCCACTGCTGAAAAAATATTTTAAAAACAGTTTTCAACTTCTTTCAAAATGTTCTGCTTGCCTTCGAGATGTTCACATGATCAAATCAAATGAATATTTGTAGACATCTTTGGAAAATCTGTCATCCTCAATTTTTCATGAGATTATTTTGCTGAGTCCACCATTGCATTATTATGCAGGAAAATAACCCCTTTACTGATTACCAAATCAGAGCACTTTCAATGTAAGGATTCATTTATTCAATCAAGTTGCTGGCAGTAAACGTCAACATGGTCCTTCCATATTGAGGTTAATCATGATGGACAAAAACACCATTCATATTCCACTGGACACAAATAAAGACCTTATATGGATAGAATGGTTTCACATTTTGTGATAATCACTATATTTTCACTATCTGCTGCAAAACCCATTTTTCATCACCTGTAACAATGCAATGCAAAAATGAAAGACTGTTACAAATGGTGGAATGTTGTGTTCACTTCACAAACTAAATTTTAAGAGGAATCTTAATTCCCTCTTTATATATTTTCCCAATTAAAACTTTGAAATACACTATAAATGACACACTGTCAAATAAAGAAAAAAAATTTTATCATGGTTAGTTGACTAATAATTCATAGCTGTGAAATATCCAATTACTTTATGAACACCCTAATATATATATATATATAATATATATATATATATATATATATGTGTGTGTGTGTGTGTATATGTGTGTGTGTTTTGTTTATTTTAAAATAAACAACACAAAATATATAGATATATATTCTGTTTTGTTTATTTTGTGCTAATGTCAAAAAGGGCATGGATCTGTCTTCAACAAGGTTTAAAAACAGGGACAGTTTGGCTTCTGGAGTAAGCAACCATGGTCAATTGAATTGAAAATGTTCTCAAACAATACGAAAAGAAAAAAAAAGAGCCGGGCAAAAAATAATATTAAGCAAACAATATATATGCAAGTCAAAACTAGACAAAGCAACAGTAATAAGGCAAAAATTTCACAAAGTAAGAATTGTGTTCATAGGTGAAAAGGATGGTTCGGACTTAAAGACAAAAAAAATATGGTGGATGAGATCGAGAAGTGGCCTATTTTTATTGGTTAGAAAGAAATCTCAGCATGCATCTTTAGGATTTGTTTATAAATCTGGGGAGGAGATGTTCTTAGCAGTCATTCTTACAGTGATTGAAACTAAAAGGCTCTCTTGCTTCATGTCCCAGCAAACCTAAGAGAAGGAAACCCGAGTTCCAACCTAATGAAGCCTGTTTGGAGATTTTGTGATACATTGTACTGTTTCAGTTACCCGTTGTTTCAAAAAGTGTGGCTGTTTTTAGACAAGCCTTTACCATTAAAATCAAATCATCTGTGTACATAATTCGCTGGTTCAGTTCTAAACTAAAATGATGGGACCTCAAACATTGAGGTTTTGTGTGTGTGTGTGTGTGTGTTGTGTATATAGTCGACTCCCGTCGATTTTGACGTATGAGGGCCAAGCAGATCAGTTTCCAGGAAACTGACAGCCCGACAACGACACATGAGATTTGATTATAGTGGTGAAGGCCTCATGCAGGACCATCCACACTTTTTGAAGGGCCGAATACAGAGACCTGGTGCCACAAGGTTCCCAAACGACCCTCTGCAGGTTTTGAATTTAGAGTTGTCCTTCTCCTAGACCAGTTGCCATCCAAGGCTATAGAACCCAGTCTGTCCTGCTATTTACCCATAGCTGGAGGGAGAAGAAGAGGATTTATACCTTTCCCAAGGGTATTAGCATGTAAGTGAATGTAATGGATTCGACTGGAATTCGAACTCGGCTCTCTGATTCCTCAATCCAAGCTGCTATCCATTACTCCACCGTGCCTCTTCTTAAATAAAGAAACGAAGAAAGTGTTGTGTGTGTGTGTGTATATATATATATATATATATTTTTAATAGGTCGATGAATGAAATTAAAGTGATGAAAACAATAACAATAAAATATTTATTGTATTTTATTCGGCCTATAGAAGCATAAGACTAAGTTTGAAATTTCCACTATAAAAGTTCAACACAGGAATGTCTAAAAATTGTGATTTGTAACATCTCCATGATTCTATTTGTTCTAAAGGCCTTATAATATACAATAAATATTATTTTTTTTGATGGTCTAAAGGCCTAATAATATACAATAAATATTATTTTGTGATGTTGTAAAGACCTAATAATATACAATAAATATTACTTTTATTATTGTTGTTTTTTATCTTTCAAATTTGTTTTATTGGCTTGCTATATCTATATATAAGAAGCATGCAGACAAACTTTATTATATTTTTTCTTTCCTTCCTGCATGACAAATAACATTTTATGCCCAAAATATGGTAACATTTATACACAAGCTGACAGCATAATGATGATCTAATTTCTACATGTGGAAAATAAAGTCTTCAAAAATTCCAATAAGCCCACCCCACATATATACATGCTATATCAATGATATATTTATATTAGCAAACAGATTAGATGAAATAAATAAAGAAACGAAAGAAACATTTGAGAATAACTCTATCCTACACTTTATTTATGAACCAAACATTAAATATAAAATCCCTTTCCTTAAGATATTAGTCAATGCCAAAAAACCATAATCTTATCACCTCTTTACAAAAAAAAAAAAACAAACACTAGCAGAAACTCTTGTTAACTAAAAAAGTGAATGTCCTCACAGATATATATATATATATATATATATATATATATATATATATATATGTATGAGAACAAAAGTAATATATAAATTCCAATGTTCACAGCATTAATCCAAAAGAGGGCTTGATACCGATAGTAGAGCGATAATTATTTATTTATTATAATTTTATTATATAGACAAAACCATTTTACTCACTACAAAGATGCAACTTCGTTTCAGTGCATTTCAACAGCACTGAAATGGGTGAGAATCGAAAATTTTCGATTCTCACCCATCGAAGTGCAGTTGAAATGTTGTAGTGAGTAAAATGGTTTTGTCTATATAATAAAATTATAATAAATATATAATATATATATATATATATATATATATATATATATATTCTTCATATATATATATATGGATATTCTTCATATATATATATATATAATGAAATGGATTGTTTGACAATTTTATATTTTGTTTATATGTTATTTTAATAGATACAATTTATTGAAGTGATATGTTTTTGTTTTTTTTAAATAAATAGCATTAATTAGATTTACCAGCCTGAATGTCTGAGAAATTTTGTAGAAAATATGTGCTTTTCTGACAGGCATCTAACCTGTACCCCAATGGAAACAATCATTTGATCAGATGTGCTGTTAACCATTCAGACACAAAGAAGCATCTGGTTACCTAAGTCCAAATTACTGTTTATAAACAACAAATCTTTGATGATCTTTCCCAAATGATCATATCTGCTCACGAAATATGATCACCCAGTGGTGACAGTGTTTCATGCTTAAACACAATCTTTAGGCCATGTGTGTTGTGTACTCGCTCAACTATTTATAAATGTAATAATAACAAACAACAAATAAAGTAATCAATAATAAGTAAAAAAGGCAAAAACAACACTATAAAATATCCACAAAATTGCATTCGGATCCACAATTATTATTAGAATAATTTGAAGCATAATTGTTACTGCCCACCTAATAACTTTTAAGATAATACAATTGACCTACCAATAATACACCATTGACCAGCATATATAAACAGTTGATCCAAAGCACAGT